GCTCTGCCATTCAGTCATTTTTCGTTTAACTTAAAGTTACCTTTCAGTTAACTGAATGGCAGACTTTTATCCTGTGTTTGAAATACACATGCATAAACCAAATAAAGCTCAGATATCATTATTTTCCTATGTTATCTCGGGTGTGGGAACTCAGCATTGACGTCCTGACAACCTGGATGTCTCGACATTTTTCGATATAGTCCTGTTAAGTTGAATTACCGAAGTTTACTAAGTTTATTTATAATTTATAATAATATCTCAATGGCTGTTTAGTTTACCAAAGTAGATTGACATTACATTTTCATAAATCCATATACTTGATTTTTTTGTATGAAATCAGTATGCTTTATTTAAAATCTGGTATTTCAACCATTTTCAAAATTACTTTTAATAATGATGCTTTGGAAGAAATTGACAATTCTTTTTTTATTTCAAAATAATAGATGTTTTAGACAGTTTAAAGTTCCAATTTTGGAACTCTAAGAATTGAATCGAATAGAAAGGGGTAATCTAGAATTTTTTCGTCAATTAATACATGTTTATATAGGCTTCTCTACTGATACAATCAGTGAATAAATAATGACCAGTTGAAATTTTAAACACTGTCCCTTTCATTTGAAGAAAGAATGGAATTCCTCAATTTTCATACCAAGAAATAAATATACATGTATATGAAAATTGGTCAAAATTCAGCACTTATGAATGCCTTCGACCTTATGTTAAGAAATGAGTTGAAGTGTTGAGAAAATGACAGGTTATTCGAATTATACGTATATACATTCATGTCTGAGTTAACATGAATCTTTTTACTCTAGTTCAGGCATTTCAAGTTTATAACATATCTTTTTATTCTTTCAGAAAACGATTATGTTTAGATATATCTCTGCTGTTCTGCCTGGTCATTCTCATCTATGTATCAATGTACGACAACATACCGGAAACACTGAAAATAAGAATGACTCACATATTTTCCCAACGCCAGGACAAAACAAGAGACTTTATAAGTGTTTGTAAGATTCCAAATTTAGATGTGTACAATCCTGGTGTCAGATATAAAATTGGCGAATCAGAACTTAAGTGTAAGAACAGAACATCTTTTACATTTGAAAATGGACACAGACTTGAAATTAATTGGACGGCTGTTAGACTCTCTAATGTATCTTCTACTTTTGTATGCTGTACTTACCAACCTATTGTTAGACCAGCTGTAGTTCCTAATCATAACTTCTTTCACTATGGGTCGGAAAGTGCACAGTTTAATACATCTGTGAATATCACCGACGAATTTATCCGTGTGCAATGTTATGACAAAACCAACAAAGTAATTTATAGAAACTTTCATCAATTTGTTGTACAAAAACCTGATGTAGAAAGACGATGTAACAAACTGTTTAAACAACATTCCCAAAATCCAACAATCAAGGAAAAATTGAATGTGGTCTTGTTAGGAGTGGATTCAATATCCAGGTTACAGTCTATAAGATCTCTAAAACGTACTCGTTCGTACCTCCTTGATGTTCTAGGAGCATCAGAACTGACCATGTATAACAAAGTGGGTGATAACACATTTCCGAACATTGTTGCACTCACTCTCGGAAAGTTTGTTGAAGAAATTCCCTACAATGAATCCTTCAGACACGTTCCATTTGATGAGCATAACTTTATCTGGAAGCAGTTTTCTGCTAAAGGGTACAGAAGTCTGTATATTGAGGATAGGAGTGGAACTTTTGATTACCTGATGGCTGGATTTCATTCATATCCATCAGACTATTATAATCGTCATTTCTTCATGGCTATGAAAGAAGAGGAATCTGTTTGGAACACAGATAACTTGTGTATGATGGATCGACTAGAAACTGGTATGGTATTAGATTATGCAGCTAATTTTGTTCGATTGCAACAAAATTCACCGTATTTTGCTTTTTCCTTTGTCACTAAATTAACACATGACGAATTTTCTTATGCTCAATATGCGGACCTCCCTATCCTCAACTTCATAAAAGGATTACATGAGGATCTGCTCTTAAATAATACCCTTCTCATCGTCTTTAGTGACCATGGAATACGTCTTGGAAACTATCGAAATACTTACGAAGGAATGATGGAAGAAAGACTGCCAATGATGCATTTGGTTTTTCCCAAGTGGTTTAAACAAAAGTATCCTTTATACTCGAAAAATTTGGAACTAAACACAAAACGTCTTACTACCCCGTTTGATGTATATGAAACACTGAAAGACGTCTTAAACTTTGAGGACAGGATTCTCCACCGAAAGGGGTATAAAAATAGAGGAATAAGTTTATTTAAGGAGATTTCAAAGCAGAGAACTTGCAAGGATGCAGGAATCGCCCCACACTGGTGTACATGCGTGGAACACAGAGCCGTTAATACCTCAGACAATGTAATTGTTATTTTGAGTGAATTCCTTGTTCGAAGCTTAAATGAGAAGTTAAGGAGAGTTCGAGATAAATGCGAAGTGTTAGATTTGGAAGCAATTAATCATGCATCAAGGGTTCAAATATCTGAAAGTATTCTTGAAGCTAGAGGAGAGAAAATGAAGTCCCAAGCACATTACCAACTACAAATTAAGACAAAGCCAGGAGGTGCTTTGTTTGAGGCCACTATATTCTACGATGAAAGGTTTCGTTTTAGAAGACTCGATGGTGACATTAGTAGAATAAATAAGTACGGTAACCAATCATCGTGTATCAGGAATAGCCATGAATTGGAGAAATATTGCTTCTGTAGGTTGTGAAAAAAAATTGTCGTAGAAAGTAAAAATAAATTTAAAATTTAAAATAATTGCATTCATGGGCTTGGTTGTGTAATTATATAATGAATGTCACACCAACGTAAGGAGGGACACATATTGCTATTGTTAGTTCTATAACTTTGTCTGAGCATTTTATCGGAAATGCCTTGCACATTCTTAATGAAACTTTGTAGAGATTAAGGATGTAATTGGCCCATATGAAATACGCTTTAAAATATTCCTAGAAAATGAATATAGTGTTGATGTTTTTTTTTAAACAGCATGAGTTTTGATGATTGGGAATTCTACTATTTGTATATGTATATATCGGGTCTCTACTTAGTTCGGCAAAAGCGACTTCACTTACATCAGTTGTTTGTCACGTGGCATCTTTAAAACTAGAAAAAATATATACGGCTACAAAGATCGTAAAAGTTCAACGATATACGCGGATATATTTTCGCTATGAAATTGATTGTATTTTCTTTGAGACAAAAGCCTCAACATGAAAAGTGCTGGGAGCAACTTCTTCATGCCCGGGAATTATGTAAAATTTAGCTATCTTTCGATAAACTTCCTACATTGACATAATACGCAATGAAATAAGTTTAAATTACGGAATTACTACGCAACAACGCAGAACAAACTCCCAGCACATTTCAAAATAGTAGGGGTAATAGCTACACGTGTTTAAAAACTCATAATTTATGGTGAAGCGGATTGCCCGTCATTCTAATAAGTTACTGTATTAGTGTGCCTTACTGGGCTTTAGTTGAGATCTATACATTTTCATTTTAATAAGACTATAAAATATTGATTAATACATTCAAGAATATATCTCCATTCTGGGCAGATCACACTTGTTTCATTTTAATTTTCATATTTACAAGCTACAATAATAGTTTGATCCACGCCTCAAGTACAGAGAAACTGCGTGTCAAACTAGCCAGTGACGTAATCTCACTCAGTACAGTGAGGTCAAGGTGGCTTTAATTCTACATTCAAAAAGAGTTATTATTGCGAGGTAAGTTACACATCGATTTATGTTTACATCATTTATGAGAAAAGACTGTATTAGAATGTGTATTAAAAAGAACATTAAACAAGAATATCAGCAGTCTCGTTTAAAGTTGTCATTTCGTAAGTTCTATGGTCGATACAATGACCTTGTCAGCAAATACAATCTATCATTAAGTCAAATGATGACTGACGTTTTAAAGTTGTCATTTCGTAAGTTCTATGGTCGATACAATGACTTTGTCAGCAAATACAATATATCATTAAGTCAAATGATGACTGACGTTTTTCATATTAACTGTTAGTTCATTATTTACACAATGAATTGTCGACATATTTTTCCGTTATTACCCGATCATGACAAGGAGAACGGCGGGTGTGACCAGTCGGCAGGGGATGCTCACTCCTCCATGGTACCTGATCCCTCCTCTGATGTTTTAGAGGTCCGTGTTTGCTCTGCTCCATAATTTGTATTGTTTAATGGACTTTTGAGCTTGAATGCTGTTTGTTATCACCATACATTTCATTGTACTCCTCCTTGGCATCAGATCCCGTCTTTGGTGATTCTAGGGGACTATTTGCCCTGTTTACAATTTGTTTTGTCAACTGTATTTATGAGATACATGTAGATAACTGTTGATCACCGTTCCTTATCTTCACCTTTTACGCATTAATTAATCAACACCTTATTTACAGTGACAGTTATTCAATTTTTCTGAATGTAAGGCAAAACTAATAGGGTTCAGGACTTGAACATAATTTTTAGATATGTATTTTGTTATTTTTTTTTTGGGGGGGGGGGGTATGCGGGGGGTGGGCTGGGGGTGGGGTGGAGTGATGATGGAGTTGATTAATAACTTTAATAAAAAACTACGCAGAAATAAATCAGTGACATTTTTGGCTCTCCAGTTGGTTACATGTTGATAGCCGATAAAAAAAAAAGACATGTAAACAATAGTTAGAGTGTTTCTCGCTTTTTGCATTAATTGGTGCGATACGAATAATACGGTAAAATTCTTTCACAACACATTATTTTGGTTGTAGTACGGAACATGACAAAGAAATTATCATCGTCGGATAAGATCTATTCTGCAACCAATGATAAAAATAGTTATACAGAATGTCAGACTCCCTGTGTGTCGTGATTATTAAACAGCATGTTTACAAACATTAATTAACGATGACACTCTTTGGCAAGCAAAATAATGAGAAGAAAATGTACTGACAAAAGTGTATTTTTTTTTAAATGACGCTTAAAAATTTGTCTATTTGCATATGTTAATCACCAGCAATTCACAAATTGAGAATTGCTACCAATGAAGGAGGTAAATATATACATTTTTTGTACCTTAAATGTGCTTCATTATCAGAAAAATCCCTCATGGAAACATGTCATTTAGAAACTTACTTTGTTGATACTTTTGATGAAGCATTGTTACATGATAGGGATGCAAAGACATATGGGTCATTGTTTTCTGAAAAGCTTGAATTTACATACAGTAGCACAAGCTAACAATGAGCACCAAGGACGAATCAAATTCTATACATGTATTTCTATTATGAAGTTAATTTTATATTTTAAAACTACAAGGAAAGAAAATGACTACAATTTAAGTGTTAATTAATTGCATATACATGTACTGTAATAGGGTTTTACTGTATTTTTTAATATCTGTTTCGATTCAAATATTAAGAGATACTTGTTTCCTGTGAAACTCACATGAATTTATAAATATATTACATCACGGTAAATTGGCTCTGATCCTCTAAATCCTGTAAATCAGTGCCTTCAACAAAATCTTTTTCTAACAGAAAGTAATTGTCCGCGCTATATCCATGTGGGACAGTCTCATTGTGCATTCCATTTATTTCCACGAAGTCTTTCTGTAGAAGAAAATAATTTTCACCCCTCGCAGTACCCTCGTTCGCTCCGTTAATGTCTTCATCTCTGTAACTTTGAACCACACCACTGTTGGTGTATTCACTTTGTGGTACTTGTTCATTCGCTGATGGATAGTTAACTGTAGATTCTTGATGGCTGATGTGTACAATATCCATTGATTGCAGGGGTAAATCGTCTTCGACATAAGATGCATGCTGCTGAGAAGTATAAATCTGGGATGATGTGTTCTGCCATTGTTTTTTCATAGTGTTCTGTAAACAGTAAAATAAACTGTGAATTTCATATTATTGCAATTTCACTATTCATGTATACTGAATATAAAGAATTTCTCCAAAGGCAAGTTTATTTTTCATAATTATTGCATTTTTAAAAAATTTAACTGTATGATATGCAAGACGTAATGGTCGACCCTCTGCTCTAAATTTAGGCAAAAAATCCTAACATTGATTTTCATTAGCAACAAAAGAACTAGATTCAAATGGAAAATATTAATTGTATGAAGAGTTGTTCACTTTTTCAGGAATGATTATTGTTAAATGTATGTTAAACCATGAGATAAGGAAAATTTGAGACTGTGAATAGAAAGAACAATAAACTATCATCACAACATAAAATCAAATTCCATGTTATTCGAGGTATCGGTGTTCGAGATATCGACGTTCAACTGTAGAAGGTACATATGAAAATAATATTAAGTGTCATAGATATTGAATTCAAATTCGAAAACAAAATGAACTTTTTTTTTCTTTTTCTTTTTTTAGGTAAGAATTTCACATAGTGAAGTGTGGCTGTTACAAAGAAAGGCATCCATCGGCAAGAATTTTCTTCTTTTTTTAAATTATTGAAGGGAAAATATGTTCTAATAATGATTTTTTTTTAAAATATGTTATATGACCAATTTTTTTAGTATCGTTAAAATTATTTATTATGAGAAAGAAATATCCAGATTGTAATAATAAGAAAAAAAACTTTATGCAAATATCTTAGATCAAATATTATCAGTAGCTATCAAAAATACTGGCAAAAAAGTCTATGTTTGTGACGTTGAAATAACTACAATTTATATCCATATATATCCTCTTAATAAGATTTTGGCGAATCCTACTCTTGCACTTTATTAGGTAAATTAACAACAACACGTGGTATAATTCCCATTAGTCTCTTTTTATGAAACCAAGCATTTTGTTTTCATTCACAAAAAAATATAATTTTAATTGTTCTACTTATTATTTTGCATATAAATCTATAAAGGATTGATTGATTGATTGTATATTGTTTAACGCCCCATTCGAGAATTTTTCACTCATATAGAAACGTCACCGTATGCCGGTGAAGGGCTTCAAATTTAGACCTATACTTGGCACTCAGGGCCATTGAGCAATGAGGGTTCTTTATCGTGCCAACGCCAACCGTGACACGGGACCTACGTTTTTAAGGTCATATCCGAAAGACCCGTGACTTTCACTTCTAATGCCGGGCTCTTGGCGAAGGAACAGTCACTGCCTATCTTCGGTTTGACGCGGCGCGGCGAACGAGAATCGAACCCGGGCCTCCCGATCACGAAGCGAACACCCTACCACTGGGCTACCGTGATCGGTAAACCTATAAAGGAAACACTTAACATATTAAATACTCCCAATATTTTTGCTAAGTAAGACGGGGGCTCCTTAGTCGTTTCATAGATTGCCGGATGACCATAAGGAAATCACAAATCAATGACCATATAAATCAAGGATTATAATTACGATTACGTACGGCGTCATTGATATACTTTTGCAGCAGGCTGTCCATCTCTTCCTGTGTACGTCCATTTGTAATCACGCCATTGTTTGACGTGTTACTAACTCTAAGAAAGAAAGAAAACGGGATCAGATACAATTTATTTTACGACTGGGAAGCTTGAAATCATATAAAATCAATTATATTCGTCAAAGGCTCAAAAATTCTTCAATATTCATGATTTTCTAAAAAAAAAAAAAAAAAAAAAAAAAAAAAAATATCAATATCATTTCTTTCAAACCAAAAGAGAGACTGACCGCTGCCCGGTTTCTTTCTAGAACATTACTTTCTTTTTTATGTTGAAAAAATATATGTAATTTATTGCATTTGTGACATGAAAATAATTATCTCTTTTTCAACCTTTACCTAGTAAGATCAAGCGGTTTGGATTTTTCTCGTTACTTACTCTGTTTCCTTTTTTCTCTTACATTTGGAAACAATCAACATTAAGATTATTCCCAGCAGGAATCCCCCCGTTCCAATGCCAGTCTTTATGAAAATCTCTTGATTTTCTTGAAAACAAACATAAAACATCAATTTTTATAAAACACCTTGATAGCCAAACAGTGTAGTCATTTAAAATTAATAGCCATTCTCTGTAAGCATTTAAACTCTTATATAGGGAGTGTGGCACGCTAGGTCTTGGATTTTTATGAAACTTGGCACACATTCCTATATTGATGTATGAAACTAAAATTCATAATAAAATGGTTGCTATGGTCAATGGTTACCATGGCAACCAACATACATTTTTCATGGCCTACAAAATGCTAAATTTTGATGAAAAATGACCATTTTTGACTAATTAAAAGTCTTTAATACAAAAAGATATTTACATGACTTTATCTTTTTGTCAAAATACATCATTTTTATAGTTCTTTAGATAATTTCTAGTATTTGAGTAACTTAACCTCATAGAAAAAATATCCCCCCTTTTTAAGTATGATTTTTCTAAGGAAAAATTGTAGATTTTAGGCTCTTTTGAAAAGCCTGGTATAAATTTTTGCGGACATATTGGAAAAAATAAATACATTGGTTTGAAAGTCCATATATAGTTGTAATATAAACCATAAAGAACCACTTGGTATTCATATCTTGTTTTCATGTTACCATGGTTACAAACTAATGCTTTTTTAAGAATTCCAGACAAGGGCAATAGGTATCTACTATCAGTTTCCATATAAATACCTGAGTATTTTAAAATGGATTAAAACCAAATTTGTACATATAGTACACAATAGCAAAAACAAAGAAAAAAAATCAATTTTCATAACAAAAGGTCAAAGTTCAAGGTCAATATGGCTCGATTTAGATGGAAAAGTAAGGAAACTAAGCACATTTTTTCAATGCCATAACTAATACTTGTGTTTTAAACAACATAATTATGAATAAACAAAATTACAGTTCTGGTGGACAATACATGTAACTAGCATCACATGAATTGGTAAATACGGACAGAAGGTCAAAGTTCAAGGACACAATGGTATATAAAATTTGCCTTTTTGTCCCCTACTTTCACTTAAAGTGGGGGATATTTATTTAGGTCTCTCTGACGTCCATCCGTCTGTTAGTCTGTCTTTCTGCAACACTTTCGTTTCTGCACGATGTCGCATGAAGCCTTTGAGTCTTTGCAATGAAAGTTTATATAACAACTCCCTGTGACCTAAGGAAGACCCCCATTGATTTTAAGGTCAAGGGTAAAGGTCATGAATCAAAATTCTGTCTGTTTTAACACTTTATTTCCGCGCAATATCTCAAAAACTTCGAGCTTTTGCAATGAAATTTTACACTGAAACTCCCTATGGCCTAAAGAAGACCACTATTGATTTCGAGTTCAAAAGGTCAAAGGTCAAGGTCAAAAATTTATACATTCTGTTTGTGTGTAAACTTTTCATTTCCGTGCGATATCTCAAGAAGCTTTTAAGCTTTTGCAATGAAATTTTATATCATAACTCCCTTTGGTCCCGCCCGCAACTCTTAAAGTATCCCGTTCCCCCAACCCCACCATCCTCCGACCCCACCCCTCAAGATCCGTACATGCTCTTTTTTTCCTTAAGCAGGGGACACAGCTTCTCTGAATTAGCTTGTTAGTATAGCATTTAAACTCGGATATTGTGAATGTCGTATCCTGTTTTATATACAATGCATTTTACTGAAATTGGTATTACATTCTCACCTTTAGCTTGATGCATAATGTTAAAATGCTATGAGAATGGTTTCATTTATTGAAAAAAAAGTAGCCAACTCAAAATATTGAAAGCCTATACACGTACCATATTGAGTGACTTGTACGTAGAGCATTGTGCTACGTGCATGTAAATACACTCTTTTGTTGTTTTGGTAGACTAAGTCCTTGTTCTATAATGTACATTTTTAGACCCTATTCAACACTCCACACTTTTCCAGTGACAGTCAGAATGTGTTTTCCTGTGACTTTTTTTTTCAGAGAAGTTGACAGAAAAAGCCTAAATCCATTTTACTTTGCAATACAGTAAAAATCTATCATGTATTATTCTTAAAAACTTGAAAATTAAGAGACATTGAGATGATAAATATTTTAACCCAAATATGCCTGGATTTAAGTAATAGATCTGCTACTTCCAATATTTAATCAATAATAATCTTTTGTAAAAATCTGCTGGACCTGCTCAGATAATCTGATTTTGTGTTTTCTCGAATTTATGTCGGTTGCTAAGTTTGAGTTGGTTGGTAAGCTTGATAGAATCGTACACCTTATGGTTTGTATTGTAAACATAATTTCTAAACTTGAGTCCTTGAAAATATTGAAAATAATCTGTCCCTGCCTCCTTCCTACGGTTTTCATTTTTTAAAATGAACATGATAAAGTAACCAATGACCAGGACTTACTCCATCCCTTCCAGGAACAATGTAAAAGCACTTACCCCAAATAAATGGGTAAGAGGCATTTGTAAGAAAAACACGGATCCGTTGTGAAACATTAAGAAACGTTATATATAAATATGAAAGAAAGCGGTTCATTCATAAGTGATTAACCCAAACCCGCCCTCATTCCAGATTATAGATTTTTTGTGTTTAATTTTATGATTTCTTTCTTTTGGTAGAAAGGGGTGGGGTGGGGGTGGGGGGCTTGTCAGAAATTTATTTATGTTTTCATTATTGATAAAATACAGCTACACAGATTTACTATTAATTTTACTGCTACAAGGTTCAATCTACATTTATCTTAGTCTAGAGAAATGATAAACTTGATAAAAGTGATAACTTTAAATATGATTCAGACAATTTGTATTTCTATGCAAACATCCCCCCCCTTAAAAAAATTTGAAAGTATAATTTTCACTGGTCGAAAGGAATCAATTACAAAACAAAACATTTTCATTACTGACCTTAACAATTTTTTTTTATTCTTTTTTTTGGATAAAGACCATTAATTCCCTTAAAGAAAATACTTGGATCAGGAACATTATCAATTTCTTTGTAAATATTTTCAAAGTCATTGAATAAAAAGTTCAAATCTGAAATATACACAGATAACTTTTCTCTCTTTTTTTCTGAATCAGATACAGATAAAGGCAAACAGTAGTATTAAAAAGATTGAGTTTTCTGTTACATCCCTCACAAATACAGGGTTTTTAGGTGTGGATTTTTTTTTTCTACATGTAGCCTTTAAAGAGAGATAAAATATACTTTTACGTTCTTTAATTTTAGAATGAGGGTGTAAAGAGTATCAGTTTATATTTCAAATGTAGCAAATCCTATCAAGTGAAAACACTCATCATATAAAAATTGTAAATTATGAATGACATAAATTCTGTTTAAAACTATGGGTTAAGGGACGACCGTTTGATTCAGAAGGGGGAGGGGGGCAATTTTTTTCCGAGTCAGATCATTTATTTTCATGGAATTGAAGGACAGATTATTTATTTCCAATATGATCCAGGACAGATTATGCATTTTTTGCTTCACTGAAAAAAGTCTGAAAATAAAATAAACAATCGACCTCGCCCCAAGGGAATGGGGGGGGGGGGGCGTAGGCATTTGTTTCGGGAATAATTTTTTTTTTATTATTTTTTATGATAATAATACTTATTATAATATGTGTTAAAAATTATTACCGAAACAAGTGCCTTTGGGTTGGAGGTTGTAGCACTTATCAAAGATGGATTATTTATTTTCCTGCCAGTTGAGGACAGATTATTTATTTCCAACATTTTCAAGAACGGACTTTAGTTTCTAAAATCTTTAACCCCCCCCCCCCCCTCGCATCAAATGGTCATCCCGTTAATGACAGACATCAACTTACATACATCATTCAATATTCAACTTCAACTTCCAGTTCTGTACAAACATGTAAATGTAGCTTGACTTTAATTATTTAGGTAAAATCAATAGCCTAGTTCTCTCACATTATAATTCAGTTTTTTTCACATTTGTTTTAAAAAGGCACTGACTTTCCAAGGCTGTATTCATTATAATACATGTATACCACTCTGACTAGGACATTGTGCCTCTTCTTACAACCAATTCAATATAATTCTGCAGATATCTCAAGTTTATCTTTTATCCCCATTTTGAAACTCCTAAGACCTTGAGGCTTAGGTTTCAATATCATGAATGAGCACAGAGCTGATTTCCTGTACCATGTGGTCTTTTACATTTCGCCACTGTTCACTCATCAAAATTATTCTTTTGCATGCAGGAAATAAACAAAGCAGTTAAAATTTGTATGCATATTAAATAAATAGAAAAAACCAGTTGATTTTACTTGAAATCCAGGATACATGTTGATAATGTAAACAACTTCCAGTCAGTTTTGTCCAATGATTTTTTTTTATCTCTCGCACTAAAGAGCTCACAATTATCAAAGGGAGATAATTCAATTTTTAAATGAATGTCTGCTATTTTAATCATAGATTTCTCATATTTATAGACTGAATACCAACAATGTTTTTAAATACCTTTTAAAATCAGATGTCATACTTTTCATTTCTGTAAGTAACATGGATTGAAGTAGCCGCATTTCATTGATTGCCATTCCCAAAAATTGCATTTTTTCAGAAAAAATCAACTTTAGACACCGTTTCCATGGTAACTACTCAACATTCATATGATCTAACAATATTTTTTGGAGTAGTTTATGAGGTGGTAAATTCTAGCCAAATTTGAAAAAAATCTGTGACTATGCGTGCCACAAAAGTTTAAGTGGTTACAGAGAATGGCTATTAATTTTCAACATGCAGCAATGAAGATGTTTATAAATTTAAGAACTGATTTATTATTTCAGATGATCAACTAGCTGTCTTTTTTCTGATAAAAAAAAAAAACAAAACATATCCTGATACGTACCTGTGAAAAATTCTGTAATCTCGCTAAAAACGTCTGAAGTTTCTATCCATAAAAAAACATAACAAGAATAATCAGGCATGTAGTCCTCTTTTAATGGTTATATTCTTTTTAAAAGGTAATTTATTTTTCATTGATTAAAATGCTGTGCGATGATATATAGAAAAAAATATTTTATACTTTTGTCACTAAATAAAAGTTGATATACCTATTTTTGTAACGAAGTAGATTTTCAAATTACATTATAGGTGTTGCATTTACAAAAATCAGCTGATTCTCTTATGTAAGAGATTTATAGCTCTGTTTTCTCTTCAGTACCAATCATCCATTTGTACTGGCATGTGTCTGAGTGCGTAAGTTTAAGAGACTGGGAAGGTCGAAGATTTAAGTTACAATTAAGTTTAGGGCAAGACGTCTTTCTTTTGAACGATCTGCGTTAGTCTGTATAAGGCATTGATATTGTTTTGAGAAGCTATGACGGGCCATTTTGCACTAAAATATTTCTTTTCTCAGAACTCGATAAATCTTACCTGGAGTAGCTTGACTTGAAGTCCCTTCAGAAGCTGAAACTGCAGAAAAGTGAATTTCATTCAGCTAATAGAAAGCTAGCGTGACTAAATTAGACTAATTCCTACATTCAAATCAGTTATGAAACTTTACTTACATGAACTTTCGGCACTGGTACTACTCATTATTTAATCATCAATTTGTACCAGCAAACAATTAGAAAGAATGGTTGACCTAAGACTGAAAAAATAACTATGATTAATACTGACAACACATTTAAAAAAAATGAAAAAAACAAACCCTCTTATTTGTTCTGTCATTTTTATTTTAAAAAACCTACTCGTATATTCTATGATCTCCAGTTCAAAATCTACGCCGTAAAACGCAAAATTTGTTTTTCTAAACGTGATGAATAATTCGACTGTTATTAATGACGTTTGAAAATTATACATGAATGTCCTTAGCATTGTTAACAAATTTTTCCAATATAATTTCTTACAAAATCTTCCTAGAAAAAAACGATACATCTTATGGTGTAAAAACCCTCTGCTCTAAATTTCACTAAACAAAAATTAAAAATCGCAATATTGACCTTCTTTAACAAGAATAGAATTAGATTCAAATGGGAAAAAGGATAATGAATGAAACGTTGCCTACTTTTTTTCAGAAATTAACGTAATATCTAATCATAATATGAAGAAAATTTTACACAGTGAATAGAAAGAGCTTTAATTTATTATTACAACATAAAATTAAAAATATGAGGTATATATGAAAGCATTATTTAGTCTCATGCATACATGATAAATTCATATTAGAAAACCTAATGAAGCGTTGCTTTTTAAGTCTGAATATCACATTGTTATCTGTTTTATAAACAAAAATGCACCCATCTACACGAGTTATATATATCTTCCTTTAAAATATCTCATGGGGGAAATATGATAAAAATTAATTAAAATCTTTTATCTGATACATAATGAATTACTGTCGCAATTTAGAAATTGTTTAATAAGTTATAAAATATCCAAGTTTTAACAGTTTAAAAGATATTGGTGCAGATGTTTTAGGATTATAAGTAACTATCAGATAAAATGACAAAAGAAAATAAAAGTAAATGAATGTAACGTATTGTGATTTTGAATGAATTGACTATCTAATAGTCCTCACAATTATACTCTGGTAAGATAAAGTATCAGGCAGCTTGGATATTTTTTATTGGGGGATCTTTCTTATCACAGGGTCGTTCCACCTAAATAACCAATATATGCTTACACTCCCCACATTTCGTTTTACAAACAAAAGATAAAGCTTGTTTGATGGAGGTTAAAGAATCATTTCACAGACCGCAGGGATCATTAATTTATATTTAAGATATCTGAGATCTGTGAGATACTTTCTTTGCTTCTTTTTATCTTTCAAATGACAAATTTCAAATGTCATTAGTAGATACCATTTATATAACACTTTAGGAATTTTGAGATTTATGAGTACAAAAAAGCTAAAATGCTGTAATATACTGTAGAATCATCATTTTTCGTGGGGGATCAATGTTCGTTGATTTCGTGGGTAGCCCTTACCCACGAATTAATGTCCCCACGAACATTGAAACACACATATATTTATCATAGCTGATTCATTTATCTTAATAAAATATGCAAGTTAACCACGAAATAACGTCCCCACAAACCAGTCAAATTTTGGTTACCCACGAACATTGACCCCCACGAACAATGGTGATTCCACAGTTATGTATTTATTTCTAATTTGCGGGCGTGATCGGTCGACAAGGAAGCTTGCTCCTCCATGGCACCTGATACCACCTCTGATGCTTTAGAGGTCTGTGTTTGCTATGCTCCCAATTTGTCCTATTTCAACGGACTTTTGTGCTTCTTTACTTTTCGTTATCTTCATATTTGTAGAAAAGTTATGCATTAACGATGCTCTTTAAACACTATAAAATATTTCGACAATCAGGAAGATTAACAATGGATTTTACAAACTTTTTCTAATTTACTGAAAATCGAATCCAGAGTGAAGATCTACCAATGGACATGCATGATAGTAAAGATATTGGATAATTATAATGTAGAAAAACAAACAAACCTCACTCTTTTCTCTATATTTGTTCTTCATTTTTGAATATAAATATGTGAAACGCTATATATACGTATATATTTACAGAAGAATAAACTTCCTGTTTCCAGTATGTACGTCAAATCAGAAACACTAAATGTTCTCAACAGAACGAACTTATCAATTTCCGACTTGGGATAATTATTTTGTATAATGTGCAATGTGATACGACCGATATGCGCACTAAAGATAAAATAAGGATCAAGTTGAAAAAATATACAAACTAAGGACAATGTTGACTTTTGGTTATTTGGTTATATACATTAATAATAGCTAAGCATATACGGTACTAAAAATATATACGATACATTTACAGTGAGTGAAAGATTATAACATGTAATGTGTTCCAAAGTAAGAATGAAAACAAACATCTTTTGGAATTTTTTTCTTACCTTCTGAAAGATAGTTTTAAAAATTTGACTTTTGTCTTCAGTGACATTGTAAATAAGTACACGTTCATAAAGTGTTATTTCCGAAGTATCATAATATTTTTATACTTGTATTTGTTATACAAATCAAATTGCCTTGAAATGATCAGCTTTGATTAAATATTTCTCAATAAATCTGAAAATTAATCTACAACTTAATTGCCATTCTAACTTACTGAATATGTAAAATCAAAAAAAAAAAAAAAAAAAAAAAAAAAAAAAAAAAAAAAAAAAAAATTCAATGCAGGCTAAATAAATTTTAAAAATATCCCAATTATCTTTCCTTTACATACCACATTCAGCAGTATAAACAATTTTTATTTTTATTTTTTTTTTTTTTTTTGATAATTCACTTAGAATATGAAAGATTGTTTTTCCCTTTAGGGTTCATTGTTTATATTTATATTTTTTTCTTAATTATCTCTGCCAGCTGGCAGAAACTCATTGCCCTCATCTTAGAAGGTCATTATTAATGAGCAGTAAATATACAGATTCCTTCAATTTTCCATCTGAATAATACCCTGTTCAAAGGTTGTAAGTCACATCAACTGGTGTCATCTGCAGAGGGAAAAGGTGCAGTGTTTTAATTTTCTCTTTCAAAGATATTGTTTCATTTAATAGTAATTAACTTATACTTAGTCCACCCACAGTGCAGACTCTTTGAATTTTGTGTAGAAGGTAATGAGTTCAGAAGTTGCCTGCTCACCGTGGGATTGTAAAATGCTTATTACGATTGTATTTTGTCATAGTTTCTCATGGGAAATAAAAGATCAATTTTAAATGTAATGCTCAATAAAACAGTGCGTGAATCCTTTAAACATAGCTTTCATACAAAAATACAATTTTACAAGGTTTACAAATGAGAGAAAGATTTTGCATACACGATAACCTACATCAAATAAATAAATCACACACATATTATACTTGTTTTAATGCACATTAAGTTAAGATACTATTAGATTGACCAATTTAAGATTCATCTATCACGTTTATAGGCCCAGAACTTGAATTCCAATATAAAGGTCTTTCATTTTGAAAAGAGTATTTATTTAAGGGATTTATTTTGAAACATGTTTCAAACATATTTGGAATGTAAAACTGTTGTAAATTGGCATTTTTAGCCCAGAATCTAATGTTATGAATGAATTTCTTTATTAACAAAGTAAATTTGGCACAAATTGAAAATCAGTTACTATTCATGCTTTTTTGAAATTAAAAAGAAAGCATGCTGCCCTCTCTATATAATTAAAGCAATGATGGAAAAAATGATGTCACAGCAAAGCAAATGGTCGAATATTTCTTATGACATTTTTTTGTGATCAGGAGGGATTGGGTACGACTCCTGTTCCTGGAATCGTGTGAAACATGACGTTATTGCGACTAGTGTTAATATTCCTACGAAGCAGGTTTTATTCATAAATGTCTTGGTCAGACGATGAAAACACTTGATGTGGCCTTCAACTCGACATACAGATATATGGACGACATTGTATCAATTATAACAATGGGTACTTCCATTCATATGTCGAATAAAGATATCTTAGTAAACTTGAAATAAAAGATACCATTCTGCTACACCTGCTTCATACTCGTATTTGAACGTTTTACTGACTATAGACAATAAGTGTCAGCGAACAACTACACTGCATGACAAACGAGATGACCTCAGCTTTTCCATCGTCAACATTCCTTATTTATGTAGTAATATTCGGCATAAGATCACCTGCATATGGTGTTTATTACATTATCTGACTTATACGATACTCTAGAGCATGCTCTGATTACGATCAATTTTTTAACCGAAGCAGGTTATAGACAGAGGGATTTCAACCTCGTTTAAAGACAACATTTCGTAAATTCTATCGTCTTTATAATGACTTTGTTAACAAATATAATTTATTGCATGTTGACTGGCGTGTTAGACCTTTGTTTTTATAAAAAAAACTTTGAATACGGTATGCTCCTGCTAACTGATCAATACATAGGGCTCACGGCGAGTGAGACCCATCAACAGGGGATGTTTACTCCTGCTAGGCACCTGATCCCACCCCTGGAATTTCCGGGGTTCCGTGTCTTATGCCATGTTCACAAATTTGTATTGTTTGTGGATTTTTTGAGATCGATCATTGTTTGTTATCTTCATTTTTCATGCAAACGTAGGTAGTGACAAGCATCCGGTACTAAAAGTGAATGAAAGTCACGAGTTTTTCGATTGAGACCCTAAAGACTAAGGTACCCTGTCAAGGTAGGCTTTGGCACGATAAGAACCCTCATTGCTCAATGTCTGTTTGTTTGTTTTTTTAACTCCCCTCTCCGGAGATGCCACCAGTTACCGGTGGAGGGTTGCAAATGTATACCTATACTCGGCACTTAGGGCCATTGAGCAGTGAGGGATCCTTTTTCGTACCAAGACCGAGACCTCGGTTTATACGGTCTGTATACGATTTATCCGAAGGACCGGTCTCCACGTCTCGCAGTGGATTCGAACTAGCGACGTAAAGATCACGTCATTACTAAGCGACTCTAGAGCAAACGCTCTAACCACTGCGCCACGTGGGCGACCACTAATCAATGTCCATGAGTGCCAAGTAAAAATCTAAATCTGAAGCCTTCATCAGTATATATGGTGAGGTATCATAAAAGTAAACTATCCTCACAGCGGACTTAAAAACATCAAACAATCAATATCATGACATTAAAAATCTATCCTTTCCCTTTTTTAAATGAAAAGAGTTATATACAGTTTTTTTTATTTATTTATTTTTTTCAAAATAATTCAGAAATACATGTACATATATATAGCTACCAGACAATGTCCTTTCTCTTATATATAATTACTAAATTTTAGGGAGGTGATCGAAGCAATTTAAAGCAATTTTAAGTAATTTCATGCATTCAATATTTTTAAATTGTTAATTATTTACAAGTGTGTCGTTCTGAGGTTTGTCTTGTGCAGGAAATAATGTTATGTGTAAGTAGAATGTGGATTTATATACCAGGTTCTTAAGTATTGAATAACACAGCTAAAAAAATAAAATATACAAAAATTATAATATTCTATTCATTTTTTTTTTTATTTTACATATGTATGTAAAACAAAAGCCTACAGCACACTTATGCAAGAAAAAAGATCGTTGATCCTAAAGCTTGCTCAAATAAAAAACACATTGTATGTGCGTTTGCACTTTAATCTCCAGAATTTTCTTTTTTAAAAATATGTGAATTTGAAAAATAGGAAAACTTACAGGATGATGTTAGATTCGAGCAAACTTTGTATAAAAATGAAACTTAAACATACTTTTAATAAAATCAAAACATGTATTTCTCTTAAACTTTGATATTTGTTGCAAATTTTGTCATTACACAATATTTTTTAATTCAAAAGTTCCAACGTCCCTATACAAGGAAGCACTTTAAAAATCAAGTTTTTATTTATTGACCCAAAATACATAACTTCCTGAATACGTGACCTATGAGAGGACAAAAGAGAGGAAGACATCACAACAATGTATATTTTTTTATATGTCTTTAATGTGCTAGAAATATCTTTAGCCAGTGAAGTAAACTAAACAAAGATTTCCAATATTTGAAAGTTTCAGTGAACAATAAGAAAATTCGTTATTCCAATCAATATCTTTCAGCTTTCAACTTGGTTGTCAAACGTTGCCTTTTGTTCCTTATCCCCTTTGAGTACTGGATGCAAACAGGTATTATTCTGTGTTTTATCTGGTAATCTGACAGTCAAGCAAGTATATCCCTCCAAAGACTGTGACGAAGAGCAGTGTCCTGAGGACGTATGATCATTATCCCTATTAAACAGTTCCTGTTAATTAATGGAATCATTATAATATTGCAAAAGGGTGCAGTCCATTTCCTTATTTGATCTAAACATAACTTATTGATCTTATTCTAGAGACAGCAGAACAATTCGGAAATACATATTATCCATGATTGAAACGAAAAAAAAAAAAGATTTCTGTCCACAATAAATGTTATTTCATTTGGTGTTCAAATGGAATTTATTTTATGTTTTGGTTCGAAATTTAATATTTTGGATTTAGGCAAAAAGCCTCAGCCGATAGGGCACGAAAATTTTAATTTCCAAATTTAAACATGACGCTGAAAAAGATATTTTGAATGCTGAGATAAGGTATGAATTTCATAAGTTGTAATGGGGTTTCTTACATTTTCATTATGATTTCTTTGTAAAAATGCCGACGAATCTCTGTTACGTGCATCGTTTAAATCTCCACTTCTTTCTGTTCTGTATAAGACACTTTGATTCCTGAAAATACATTTCTGCGTTATAAAATGTTAAGAAATTTTCTTTTCTATTATAAATTTGTTTTTAAATATACATTTGATTTTTTGGATGTTCTTTTCTTCTTTGGCATGTTTGTTTGTGTGTTGGTGGTTTATTGATTTATTTAGAGATTAAATTAATTCATCAAAACCATAACACCATGTTTCAATATTGAATAGTTGTCATCCTTATAGAACAGTATATATATATATATATATATATATATATATATATATATATATATATATATATATATATATATATATATATATATATATATATATATATATATATATATATCAAATGAAGAACAAATCGATTTTAGTGACAGAGATATAAACTCTTTTGGGTATAAGGATCACACGTGTTATACTGATATTCCCATCAATCTTTAGTGCTCCTAAATAAAAGTATCTTTTTCTCATAGAACAATTTTGTGGTTGTCATGCGAATATGCGTCACAACTGTAAATGCACTTCCCGATATGATAATAAAATATCCTGGAAACAGGGATAAGCCAAAGATACATCAGCTGCAAGGCTCAGTTACATTTAGGTACATTACAAGCCAGTATTGCAAACGTAAGGAGTGGCATCCTTCAATAAGCAATTTATAGCATGTTCTTGACTATCTCTTGTGTTGGCTAGAATATCTCTACATACATGCAAGCAATGATAGACAAAGAGTTTATTTTTAAGAAAATAAACTTCCTTGATATTCATGATCACTCGTTATCATTTGATGTCAAAAACGTAATGTAACCTTTAAATTTATAGCAGATTATTAATATGTAATTAAGTAATTAGTTACAAATATGAATGCTTTCAAGTGTCATCAAATTTACCATCGATCTCTTTTCTTGCATCTCCACAGTATAAGTGACATTGTTAGCATTCCAAGTAGTAGGCCAATTACTGCTGACCCGGACACAGATAAGGTCAAAGTCCGGACTGTTAAAATATAATTTATATAAAAAGCTTTTAATTCACTTCACTAATAATACAGTAAATGTTGTACATTAGATTTTAATGCACCGAATACATATAACAAAAGTTTGAAGGGTCTATTTCACTTTCAGCTTATAATTACGTAGTCACAAGAAAGTCATTCTTTGAATGAAAATGTTCAAACATAAGATTTATTTTTCAGCTAAAGTAAATTACATGTGTATTTAATATTAAATATAAAAAAAAGATGTTCAATATTTAAGATTTATGTTAAATCTTTATCAACTCTTTTCAAAATAAACATTTGATCTGTTAATTTGAGATAAATGCAAAGACTACCTCGAGTTCTTGTTGAAAACGTATGATATTCTCTGGACACATTTTGAGCATCTAGTCTAATTACGTCTGACGCGTCCCTTTTAGTAAAAGATCTGTGATGTTTATCCCCTGAAAGGAAAACATAAATTATTTCTTTTTTAGTGTTTGCCTCCATTTAAAATTACAACTATTTAAATCATATTTTTGATATATGCAAACAAGGAAAATCTAAAACTGTTACCATCCTGACATAGGCTTATCCATTCTAAACACTTTCCTATCTTCTTCAAACAATCTGCCAATAGACCATAAAATACACAACATTTGTTATTACATGTACATATGTTATATTTCACATACTCTTTTTATACCTTTACTGCCAAAACTTTCCTGAATTACCGTTAAGGAAGTTAGATTTTTAGGAGAGACAACTGTTTTTGTCTAAATCATTTCGATATGTTGAAAATGTAAAGGTCTAAAATAGCTGACTCGCAACTAGAATCGATGATAGTATGTTCTATGGTTACTTTCAGGTAAGTTTCAGTTCTTTTTTAAATCTGTATTCTGTGCGTGAAATTTAAAACAAAATCGTTAAGGAAGTTAATTGATTTTCAGCGACATGTTATTTTGCATGAAAGAAATTTCATGCATTTCTTTGCGAGAATGGTTTGATTTCTTTTTATATAAGAAAAAACCCAATTTTTTAACATTGATTGCTATCTGAATTCACAAATCACAAATTTAAACTTCACTACATGGTTATACAGTCACATATAAGTAACGCAACTATTTCAAATAATTACACTAAGTAATCCTACATAAAACTTTGATCTCAAACAGTGGTCACGCCTAATCCAGGAAATAATGCCCTAAACATGTAAACTGAATAATATCCATTAAAAGGGGCCTAATCAAAATTGCACTGTTTACATTTTAAATTTCTATGTTTATTCAAGAAATAACTTCAGTTTAATGAATTGAACTTACATGAATATTCTTAGAATTGATTGAGAACGACATTCTTCTTTTCACTCAATCAAGCATCTGTGTTCGTTAACAGGGCACGAACTCTGTTATTGTTAATGTTTACGTTTTACTGGGTGTGTTCAATTTTGTTACTCTGCACACATCACTGAGCACAGACTGACAATACTTGTGAGCTGCTTTTGCTTTCTCAAATTTCTACTCTGAATTTTTTGCATTATGGTCTTAATATTTTTCATTAATACACAACAAAATTCCTACGTTTCTTAAGAATTAATTAAAGATAAAGTTCACTTCGTGAAAGTGCAAGGATATGTGTCAATCAAACGCATCCCGAAATTCATTGTTTTAATAATTTTCAGATAAAATAAGTTTCTAAACACGCTTTCATTATATTTTGGCATGAAATGCTCTAGCAACATATAAGTCATGATATAATACTGAAAAGTTTAGAAAACATTAACTTCAAATCTGTGTATAAGCCCCTTTAAGATGATATGACAATTTGTATACACATCTCAAATGTTCTAAGACATAATGTAAAGTCAAACACAAATAATAATTTATTTATACATGTTTCACTGCTCCTTGGTATATCAAGACTCTATTTTGAATAAATTCTGGCCTATTTGTTGCTCTATTACTGTTTTAAATTATCACGTGAAAAAAATGAGTTATTTTTTTAATAAGGATAAGGAAAATAATTGTCGATTGGCGAGATAAGGAGTAGTAATTATTTAAGAGAGCATATCGAAGGAGTTCCTTGTCAATAAATATGTCCATTGATTAATAGAAACACAACATAAGTCTAAATATAGATATGTAGAAATAAAGTAAACTAAGTATTGATTCTGATGAAAATTCATAAAAGCAATAAAATTGAATACATAATTTACACTGACCTAGACTGGGTCCATCCATCGAAAAGCAGCTTTATCAGATTAATATAGAGGATTAACAATTGAATATACTGTGTCAAATATAACTCATAAATATGCACTTGAAATAGCATTTGTTAAACATGAACAAAATAATGTACAATTGGTGGTAATCACCGACTCTACCTATTTATATCTAATAACATCAACTGGCAGTGTCTTCTTCCGTTCTAAAACTAGTCATTTGAATTATCATGAAGATCTATAGACATACATAGATAGAAAAGATTAAACACTGAATTAAAAACATTTTCCAAATACTCTCATTGATTTCCTTTTTACTTTGATGTTTGATATTTACCTTTTTTATTTTTTTTATTCATTGAACTTGATTTCATTTAATATAATATTTCGTAATTAATAACAGGGAGCTAGTGCCTGAAATTTCATTATTCTACAAAATATTTCTGTACTTTTATTAAATATATTTAAGGAATCTCTCTGATCCAATCTCTGGAATTCCCAGGGGTCCATGTTTTATGTCCTCCTCACATACTTGTATTGTTAATAGATTTTTTTTTAGATTGATCAATCAATCAATTCAAAATCAATCAAGTCAACTACTTGTCAGTTACAAGCCAATGCACAAATTTAAATCTGAATGTCAATTACAAGTGCAACAGAATAAACAATGGAATGAGCGTAAGAATATGTTGCATTCCTCAAGCTGCGTTGATGTGCGACGGAATACGCCACTTGCAAGGGCCATGACTACCCGTGTCTACCACGAGTAATCATGGAACTGCAACCGCCACTAATGGGGGTGCCAAGAACCATGGTGACGGTGGCAGTACCTTAACGTAAATGGTCACTGTCGACCAGGGCCTGCTCATTCACCAATTCAAACTTATAAAACAAGTGACTTACTAATCAATTACTAATCAATGCATAAAAACAAAATATGAATTTAAATCGTCAATGGTAATTCACCTATTCCGTTATAATGCTTTAAATAAAAGTGTTAAAATACAGTTATGGATTTGTCAGTATAAAACAACTCCCTATTTAATCTAAAATTGTGGATCCTTCCCTGCATGCACTATATTTCCCGTCCCGTTGGTTTATTTTATCGTATTACTTACCTACTAGGCCGTTACTACTGTTACGCTTTTTTATTGCTTTTATAAGAATGTAAACTGTCTTTGCAAGTATTGGTTATAGTTGTATTAAAAATTTGGACCGAATCAGACCCAAATTGAACAAAAAGAAGATATTTACCTGAGTCACCTCTCAACTTTTAGGCACCAGAATACTTTTTAACTATACATATGTTCTTAAACATCCCCTATTTCCCAAGCTTTATGAATTAATTTCCCTCTTCAAAATTTATGACCAACTATGATCCATAGTAAGAAAAAAGAAGTCATTGGAATGAAAGAAAGTAAAAATATGTAAACAATGTTGTAACTACTTAATGGATGCATAAACATTTGCATTTTATAACCAGAGTTTTAAAGCTAATATAACCTCCCCTGTTGCATCATGGTGGCAAATGTGCTTTAGTGGTTGCTCCCCTGATTGATTTGAATGAAATTAAAATTTTGCTTTCTCAAGTAATGACACATATCGGCATGATATAAACTATCCAATACTGAATAAACATGTCCGGAGTTTCCCTGAAAAATGATAAACACTTTTTATGACTGGTCATGGATGTATTTGCACGTACACTCGAATAGTTAAACTGTTTTAAATACGAATAACTACCCAGACTAATTTATTTAATCATCACCTATTAATTGTTTTAAAGTACAATTAATTTTAGTTTTATATAACCTCATGTCATAATGGTAATTTAACCTATTTCAAATAAAAGGAAGAATATTTGATATCGCGATTACTTAACATAATGTAACTCTTTTGGGTTTAAGGTGGAAACGCTGAGTAGCTGGGGACAATGTGCTACTGACTACACTACGAGATCGACCACTGCAGATTTTTAAAGGACAAATAAGAAAGAAGTCCTGTTGAAATACCTTTCTAAATGTTCGGTGCATCACGCTGATGAAATTCAGGAGATGCTAGTTCTCTTGTGTGACATTTTTGTGGATATTTTCCGCTAAACCGACTATTCTACTAATAAATTCAATCATTTCTTTCTGATAAACGTTGTTTTTGAAAGTCTATACATTCCAAATAAAATGACTTACTTTCTGAAGTGCAATCATCGGTATTGCATTGTACATTCGGCATACTAATTGTTCATATCATTCAATTGTCACTAAACAAATATGTTATGCCCCGAAAACAACGGGAGATTTATAACTTCCATGACTTTATCGCAAAACAGCGGCAGTAAGTTAGATAATTCGAGGTAATCGCGATACTAAGTATTATGAGTATTCAAAAAAATGTCTCGAGGGGAGTAGTTTTATCTCCTGGGAAAAAGTAATTTAGGCATAAGCATGAATCATTAATATTATACGTGTGTTTGGTAATTAAACACAATGATAAAATCAGTCCTAGGGCTAAAATACCCATTAGACACCGATATAGGTGCACAATAAAATAAACAAGAACAATAAAATATCTGAGAAAACAAAATCTGGAGTATGTTGCAACTCTTTGTCCAAGAGTGTGTGCGCTGGAAAAAAAACTCTGGTATACTTGAAAAGGCATACTCCTGGACATATCCTGGATATCCCTTACCAGATTATCTTTAAATTGAATATCGTAGTGAACCTTAAATAAAGAGATCAATATTGTTTTGACCAAGACATTATTAACTCCTTGGTTTTGAATTTTCGTCTACACTAGTAAAGATCTTAGCTCCAAGAATGCCCATTTCATATCACCCTTTTAAATCTTTGAATAATCGTAGATTCATATATTATTTCTATTTAATTGCTTATTCGATGAGCTTTGTTCCCTGACTCGTCGCACACATTAGCAGACTAGCCATTCTTATGTAGCCTGATAAGCGAAAACTGAATATGAGCAAGTTGATTAATTGAATTATCAATTTGTGAATTTTGATTTCCTTTTTAAAGCATCAATATAAAAATCAAGACATACGGAGCAAGTAGTGGGTGCTGCTTATCCTAGTGAGAATCCTGACCAATCAGCCTTAATCTGCCTTTCACAATGTCCAATAGTTCAACAAATATCACAATTACATCGATCCAAAGGAGCTGGTGAACTGATTTGATTTTGACCAACTATTTCAAAAATTACCAGTTTGAAATATGCCCCTCCCCTCCCCCCCCCTCCCGCACACAAGACAATCATTTAACCAAATTTTAACTTCCCTCAGAATGAAATTTAATAGCTGCAATTAATTGTAGCTAAATCAAGATATATATTATTGCAAATTGCACTTTTATATCTATTTTTAGAACAACTGCAACATTTCCTAGTTATTTCTTTCTTGCAAATGTT